ACAAACCTAAAATCAAAGTGAGGATACAAGAAGCTGCCTTTGTCCTGCTGTCACTGAGAGAACTCAAATTCTGATTGTCACTTCTCCCAATCCTTTAATTATCAGAGCAGCAAAATACATAAACAGAGTTCAGCAGCACAGTAGGTACAATGCAAGGTTAAACAAGTGAAACCTCACTCCATGACCCTGTTATATGGGAATGGTGGGCAAAACATAATGTGGCAAGCAGGAGTGTTCCTTAAACTGATCAAGCAAATGAGCACTCCTTTGAGAAGGCTGACTCTGACCTGTCCCTACATGTGCTGGCATCTTTGGGGGTTTTTTTTTTAAAGATATTTATTAAAGTTTCAAACAGTAAAACAAACTTCACAAAACAGGATAAGAAAAAAGAAAAAACACCAACACAATCAATCCAAAAAACAGAAAAGCACAGTGAAAACCCCATCATAAAAAGCAAAAGAAAAAAGACATAAAAAAGACATAAAAAACCCAATTTCTTAGATATTATTCTCATAATCCTCCTTCCAGACTCCCTCGCATCTCCCTTTTCTGTGTTCCCTTTTACACAATCTTATTCAGCAATGCCTCATCTTCTTTCAAATCTTATTTCATATTATACATTTCAACTATTATGGCTCCAATTTTTCCCCATTTTTTTATTTTATTTAAGTTTGACATAATATTATTCTGACTTCACCTTTGTTCTGTAAACCATTTTTTACATACTCCTTTCAACTATATCACTAATACCATATTATCTTTATATCCCGCATCATTCTAACATTCATACAATTTGCAATACTTTTGCAAGTAGTCTTTAAATTTCTTCCAGTCCTCTTCCACTAGCTCTTCTCCCAGTCATTTCTGCCCTGTGCTGGCATCTTTGTGACTTAGGTGATGGAGAAGCCATTAGCAACTCCTCTGGAGCAGATGGGGTGGACAGCCGCCTCCGAGGAGCCATGTTGTCCAAGTCAGATGTGGACCCTGGGGACTATGGAGGTGGCACAAATGGCACATGCCTGGTGACTGGTGGGGAGATGGGATGGCATTCTAGCACCTTCCTCAGGATCCTTGTCCCTACCAAGGCTCTGGCAAGGTTTGTCCAATCCCACTAGGATCATCTGCTTTGTGTGGACACACCTACTCCTTGGGACCCATGAGAACCTTATACTGAGTAGACTATTGGTCCATCTAGCTCAGTGTTGTCTATGCTGACTGGCAGAATCTCCCCATGGGTTTCAAATAGGACTCTTTTCCCATCCCTCCCTGGGTTGAGCCTGGGACCTTTTGCAAAGCAGGTGCTCTGCCACTGAGCCCCAGCCTTTCCGAAAGTAATAATACCTCCCTATGTGGGTCACGGCATTTATTTGCATACTATTTGTTTTCTTCCATTGATATCCTACCTTTTTTTCCATCGTGGAACCTAAGGCAGCATATATGTGGTCCCCAGGTGGCCTTCCATCAAGGCACTGACCAGACTCAGACCTGCTTAGCTTCAACAAGGTGGTGACCTCATGTGCCTTAAGACCAGGGGTGAAGAATCAGTGCCCTTCCAGATGTCGTTGGACTCCAGCTCCAACCAGTATGGCCAGTGGTCAGCAATGATGGAGGCTGTAGTCCAGCTGCATCTGGTGAGCCCCAGACCCTCTCCTGGCAGCAGCTGAATTGGGCATTCCCAGAATGAGCAATGGGAAGTCCAAGAGAAGAGGATAGTAGGGGAAGATTGGATTGTGGGAGGAGGATTACAGGCGAGAATGGAAGCACTTCTGAAAAAGTCATGATTTCTAGCAGATAAGAATTTGAACATGAGCCAATATGTTGTTAAGGTTCTATCGGCCCAGTATACCTGAAGGAGCATCTCCACCCCCATCGTTCAGCCCTGACACTGAGGTCCAGCACCGAGGGCCTTCTGGCAGTTCCCTCACTGCAAGAAGCAAAGCTACAGGGAACCAGGCAGAGGGCCTTCTTGGTAGTGGCGCCCACCCTGTGGAGTGCCCTCCCACCAGATGTCAAAGAGATAAACTACTACCTGACATTTAGAAGACATCTGAAGGCAGTCCTGTTCAGCGAAAATTTTAATGTGTGACATTTTAATGTATTTTTAATCTTTGTTGGAAGCCGCCCAGAGTGGCTGGGGAAGCCCAGCAATAAATTATTATTATTATTATTATTATTATTATTATTATTAATCAGCAGGAACATCATGTCCTGGATTTGGGAGCTAACTCTGCAGTGCAGTTAGCACTTGAAACACCCCTTGGAGAGTGGCAGCCCCTTCTTCCCTTGAGTGCTTTCCTGCCTTCCTCTTTTCCCCCTCCTCAGTGGGTGGAGGCAGTGGCACTCCCCTCCCTGTTGGCCTGGCTAGGTGGCATGCAAGTGGTGATGCCTCACTCGGTGCTGCCCTTGCGTGTATTGGTGTTTCGCAACTTTGACCTGTTGCAGGACCTTAGCCAGACTCTGCATACGCAGAGTTCCAGAAAGCAATCAGTTGCAGGCAGGATGGATGGACGAAGCAGGAATAAAACTCTGCTACCAGTAACTTGGTTACTTAGATGTGTTTATTATTTTCAGCAGACTCTACAAGTTACTGGCATTTCCATGCACTGCTCTGGTTTGCCAGAAAGCGGCTTAGTCCTGCTGGCCACATGACCCGGAAGCTGTACACCGGCTCCCTCGGCCAATAAAGCGAGATGAGCGCCGCAACCCCAGAGTCAGTCACGACTGGACCTAACAGTCAGGGGTCCCTTTACCTATACCTACAAGTTACTATATACATGAACAGAAACAGATCTTAACTAGCTCTCTCTAACAAACTCCAAATGACTCTCAGAACTCAGAACACCACACTGACCAACAAACACTCCAGTCAGTAAGGTCATAAGTCATCATGCCTGTGTGAATCCTCAACCAATGGTAGAGCTGTATCCAAGATCCCATATCTCCAGGCAGAATAACTCCTCCCTGCTCAGTCATCCTTGGCTTTCGGCCAACTATTAATTGACTCTATGTGAAGCTGCACAGAATGGCACATAATCAAAAATCCCAACATCATGGCCTGCCATTGCCCCCTGGCCATGGTCCCCCACTGCTGTTGCTGTGGGGCACAGAGCATGGCTAAGGCTTGCAACACCATGGTACACATTGAGGAAGATATGAGAGCAGCTGGCTTGGAGAGGAGGCAGGTGGGCAGGCAGTGAGCAAGCAGCTGGGCACTCCAGTGATGCCAGTAGCTTCTGCCATATCTGTGGAGCCTCCCTGCTCCTCCCCTCCTAGTGGGCCCAGCGCACATTGCACAGTGCACATGGGCAAGCCAGCCCAACCTCTCCTCTCGGCCAGCCAAGGGGCAGGGTGGGGCACATGTGGGCATTGCTTTGCCAGCCATGGGGAAAATGTGGCACTGCCCCAAAGGCCAGGCCCGGGCACAGCTTGCCTCCATGCAGCTCAGGAAGGTTGCAGGAGCTCAGCCACACGGCCTCAGTGAGGGAGCCTGTCGTGGGGGCGCCTGATTGCACCCCCCTCAGAATTTTGCACCTGGGGCCACTGCTCCTCTGTCCCCCATGCTACACCACTGTCTGGAGGGCCACTGCCTCCCTGTCATTTCTGCCCTAGGATTATAGACATACTACAGTTATAAGCTAAGACACAGGTAGACAACCTTTATATGTCTGTGGGCACTTACAGATTTTTGAGCTAGCACCATCAGCAGCACTTTCTGTATTCAAAGTCAGATCAAGTTAGAATTCATCTGAGCCTTCCAAAGCACTTCCAGAGCTGAAAGACGAAGTGGGAAAGAGTGTCACTCTTGCTACTCCCTCCTTCAGCTCTGTGTACTTTTCAACGGAGAGAAGGATAACCACACTCATCCCCTCATGATCAACATGGCAGGGAGTGTATGCAAAGTGGACTTGGAAGCTCTGTGGACACCAGGGGAAGATCTCATTGGGGACCACGGAACTAAGGCATCATATACACACACACCCTTCTATATCTCCTGTCTCTCTGAAAACATAGAGATTGGTGTTACCCGTTTGGAGTGGCCATCAGAGCTTAGAGTGGTCATTTTGACCTCAGGCTGCTTTGTTCCCCTGACCCCAAGCACTTGGCAAAGTCCCACAAAAACAGCACAGCTATGGGTTAACCCCACTGGGTCTATCCTATCCCAAACAAAGGGCTTTTTCTGCGTTTATCTCTGCCAAAGCTGTTATCTCAGACTTCACCAAGTACTGTCATCATGGCATTTCCTTGAGGCCGTATTTCCATAACAGAGTTCTTTTCTGTCACTTGTGCAGTGGCAAAATGCCTCTTAAAATACCTGCCAAAAATCTGTCAACTCATCTGTCACTGCTGCTGAGAGGAAATCAGTCTGAAAGAGAAAACCTGGAGATGTTCTAAAACTGACTCCTAAAGTGATGCTTTTAGCTTGCCTTTGAAAATCTAGGCATTGTATCCAATGTTTGTCCTACTCAGAGTAGACCCATTGAAAATAATGGACATGAGTAGCTTTGGCTCATTAATTTAAACAGGTCTACTTTGAGTAGAAGTTACTGTGCTGGAACCAAATATGTTTTCCAGTCTCACTAATCATTTTATGAAATGGAGTCTAGTCAACTGAGGGAATATTAACTGGACAATGGCAGAAATTGTTTTAGTGCTTTTCATTTACTGAGTTTGCAACACCAGCCAAGTACAGGTGGTTGGGGGGCCAAGGCTCCCCAAATTTTCAATGCAGGGGTCAGACCCCCCGCATGTTCGGCAGCAGCTGCACATGATCATGCTATGAAGTGCGTGGACATGGCATGGTGACGTCGTGAAGTCCTGCTCCCCTCAATCACAGGGCCTGTTCTGCAATCTTTGGCATTTTCTCTTATTGTACAGTACTTCAGTAGCCTTTGGCTGCAAAGTGGTTTATAAACCTGCAAATCCATTTCCATAATCACGTAATGGTGCAGCCAGTGATTGATGGTTGGGGTCAAGTGATTGATGGCTTCTAAGATCAAGATGGTTGCACAACCATTTCAGCTTTTCAGGGAAAAGGAAAGGGGGTGGGGAAATCATTCCAATGTGATATCTGACAGCATTCAGTCACTGTGGCATTCAATGGTACATAGCATGCAATGGTACAAGGGCGTGGATTATTTATTAAATGACAGTATGCCCATGGAGATTTTTCAAAGATTCTAGTGCATATGGCACAAAGTCAGTGTACATCCAGTGTACAACCAGCCGTCTTCCTGTTCATTTGTCTGTGTGTTTGTTGCTGCTAACAGCATTCCAAGCAAATCCACACGTCCAGCAACTGGTTGTTTAAAAGTATCTGGTAAAATAAAATCAGCAGGGAAGAGAGTATGTTATTTCTGGTCACCTCTTGCCCTAGCAGACTGTATAAGAGCCTCTATAATAAAATACAGAGCCTCTGTAATAATACAATCTTCAGATGGTGTGAGGGTTTTCCTCCTATCCCCCCGTTCCCCTGAAACCTGCAAAATTCATCTCTGCAATAGCTGCCCTAGTTGGCTCTTTGGTCTGATTCAGCAAAGCTCATCTGATTTTCTTTGGCTGAAACTTTGATCAGCTGATTTGATACCAGATGCAGTAGAGAACTTGATTTACTTGCAGAAAATCTAATGTTCAATCCCTGGCATCGTTGAATAAAAGGATGACAGAGAAGGTAATGGGAAAATCTGCTGCTTAAGGTTATCTACACGTTCATGGCTTAAAAGGGAGGTTGCCACCCCCACCCCCCGGCTGTGTTTCAGGTCACATTTGCATGTTGCTGTACACACCTAATGCGCAGTCCCACTCCTGCAAACTCTCTGCCAACACCCTTTTTATGAAGCCGTCACCTGCACATGTGCAATGGCTGCCTCAATTGTACACACCTCATTTTAAATGCAAAGTGAACATGGCTTACACTTTCAAATGGGATGGAGGTGGGGGAAGTATGCTTATTAAGTTTTTACAAACAACAACATTCAAACAGAACAATAAAAGAAACGAAAAGATGATGACCGTGCAGAGCACATTATTGCAGTTGAAATGAAATAAACAGAAGGCCGAGTACACTTTTGCAGAAATCATAATGAAACGGATCCCACAAAGGGAGATTTTGAAAGGAAGAGTCATGTAGCAATGAGGTAGCATTCCACATCAAGGCATGCGTCATACGGGGCACCATTCAGAATGCTATTTTTATTGATGAAGCATATAAATGGTTCCCATACAGCAGGCGTTTTCAACCAGTGTGCCATGGCACCCTGGGGTGTCTTGAATGATGGTCAGGGGTGCCACGGGCAACACAGGCCACTGTCCCTCTTTCCTGTCCTTCCTCTTTTAATGCCCTCTTGCGTCTGCTGCCCAAAGGCTTGCACAGCTGTTTGTTGCAGCAGCCTAGGCAAATGGCGCCTCTGGGGCTGGCCAGGGGGTGCTGGTTGCCAAGAGCTGAAGTGGCCTCAAAGTAAGCAAGCAAGTGGGTGAGGGAGCCCAGCCAGCCAGTCTGCCGGTCCTTGCTGTTGGGAATGGATAGACAAGTCCCAGGCCCCTTTGGGAGGCACCTGTCATGATGCTGTCAGCAGCTCCTGGCTGGTTGCCCAGGAAAGTATAAAGACAAGGAAAAGTTTCTTACCGCCCTTTTTTATTTCAATCTTTACAGAGAGGCTATAGAATCCAGCCTCTTGGATAATGGCATTGTCCCAAGTGAATCTCCACCCCCACCCCCGGTCTCTCCCACTTCCTCATTCGTCACTTCTACAGGTGCTCCTATGTGCCTTATGTCTTTGCACTCTTTGCTCTCCTACTTTTAAGGCTCGCCGGGTTCTGGGAGAAGGAGGCTCTGGAATGGACAATGTGTCAGCTGGGTGTTCTTCTGGCCCTCCCATGATTTCCCAGCTTTCCCCATCATCTTCCTCTGAGCTGCGACCCCCCTCAAACCCCTGTTGTAAATCTATACTGTCTTCCTCTTCCTCCTCCCTGGAAAGGTCAGGAGGGGGAGGTGGTCTCCACCATTCCTCCAGTCCCTGCCAGCACCTCTCTTTGGGGCAGGGGGGCAGCTCAGAGACCAGCAGTGGTAGCGGTGGCTGCCCAGAGGACTCCCAAGTAGAGAGAAGAGACTGAGGGAACACTTCCCAAGGGAGGGTGTTCATAAAAGGGGGAGAGGCTGCCAGCTCTGCAAGCAAGGGGTGACATAAACTGGGCTCCTGAGCCCCACAGGGGTGCCACAGAAAGAATGTAGTTGGCTAAGGGAGCCATGGACTCAGAAAGGTTGAAAAGCTCTGCCATACAGCATCAAAATGGACCCATTTTGTAATCCCTCTTAGAACCCTCTCATGATGGGTTAAACTGCAGTATTTCTCAAGAACGTACAGGTAGATATGGATTGGGGCTAATATCATGTGTACATGGCTTCAAACGCCAGCAGAGAGTTCTCACTGGAGCTGAAGTAAGGTGAGGTGTCAAAGTCAGAGCAGATAATACTAACTAGATGACCAATGGCCAATCAGAAAATATTTTATATCTGGTTCAACTCTTTGCCCATCTTTCACAGTATTGTCTGCTCTGATTGGCAGCGGCTCTCCGGGGTTCAAAGCAGAGACCTTCCCCGTAATCTGTAACCTGATCCTTTCACCTGGTGAGATGTCAAGGATTGAACCTGGGTGTCAGTGCATACATCGCATGTTGAGCTACAGTATGCCCACCCACCCCACTGCCTCCCATTGATCTGACTTATTTTGAGGCAAATTCAGGTAGTTTAGGGTGTGTGGCTTCCAGGTACATTTCAGCCCAAGTACCTGTCTTTTGGGACATTGAACACTAAAATATGTGGTTGTTGCCCCTGAAGGCATGTCTCCCTCTGCTTGCTTGTTTGTCTGTCTGTCTCATCAGTAACACGTTGAGCTGGACTTTATCATGCCGGATGGAATTTGTTTCATGAAGTGCCAGCCTTTGTAAAAGAATGAAACAGGCTATTCTTAGCAATGAAAAAATAAGTTTATATTTTGAGGGGCACTCACACACATACACAAATGAAAATGACCCAAAGTCAATCTTCCCTGTTGGCATTCCTTCTTTTTTAGTCCCAATGAAGATAAACACATTTCCATGGGAAAAGCAGATAAGAACATGGGACAGCTGGGATGTGAGAAGCAAAGGGGATCGTGAACCACACTTTTTGCACACTGCGACACACTGCTGGTTGCCAAAAATAAAGAAGCATGATTGGAATATAAGGAATAGGCAATTGACAACAACTAATCTTTCAGTTTAACATGCTGTGTCAAGGGCTTTCCAAGCTCACTTAAGCTCCAAAATCCCATGCCCTAAACAAAATTTTCCCTAATTTCCCCCTCCCCCCTTCCCAAAAAAGAACCCCTCCCCCCCGGAATTCCCTCAGCTCCTCTCTCTGGTTTTTCCATACTTATAATTCTCTGCATATTGTAAAATTGTAAAGATCCTTAACTTATCTGTCTATGTATTATTAATAATAAATTTGTGAGTGTTTATTCAAAACCTGCCAAGGAGTCCAATTCATTTTGTTGTTTCTTTAAGTACTTTGTAAAAGGTTCCCATTCTTCTTTAAAGTCACAGTTGTCCTTGTTCCGCAATTTGTGTGTCAATTTCGCCAGTTCCACGTAATCCATCAGTTTCTCTTGCCACAGTTCTTTAGTTGGGGTTTCTTCATTCTTCCATCCTTGTGCTATTAAGACTCTTGCCGCAGTTGTCGCATACATAAAGATATTCTTAAATTTCCTTGGCAGGTCTTTGCCAACAATCCCTAGCAAGAATGCTTCCAGTTTTTTAACATTATTTGCGCAATATACCGGTAGATATGTCATGGTGCGAGCCACTGGACTGTCATTATTTTGCAGGAGGGACTCAAAAGAACATCAAAACTTTAAGTAAGTTCTGACCATAATTGAACACGTATGTAGGCAGAAGGGGATGATGCAGGCAAGTCTCTGCCCTAGCTATCTCCTCTCCTCCCCACTTCATTGAGGTGGTACATAGGGATGGCAGATACATTTGATTCAGTTCACGTACCTAAGTCATGCTTTCTGAAACCATCTGTGAACCAAAACACAGACATCTTTCTAAATGGGCACTTCTCTAAATTTTCCAGCAGTTTTGGAAATATGGAGAAGTGAATTTAAGAATGGAAGAATGAGAATCTGAGAGAAACAGAAATTGAATGCTGTAACCCATACACAGATTGACCCCTTCCATGAGAACTCTGCCCGTAAGACTGGTAACTGTTTTCTTTCTTGGCCCTGTTTATGCCAAATCTCTGCAGATCCAATTTAGCTCAGAGCAGAGCCAGGCTGGTACAGGAATGGTACACCCAAGATCCTTAACAATGGCTCTTCCTTTTGGGTTGGTTCCATCCTTAATTTCCCACACCGGCACAGGAGACAAAAGCCCAGGATGCCAGGGGGCATGAGCTGATGGGAGGATGGAAATAAATCACTGTGCACAGGGCATTGTGTAAGGGAGAGAGACGGGAAAAGGTATTTCAAATATTCTCCCTTTTGTATATACACACAGGGAGGGCAGAACAAGGTGCCATTTGGCTAAAGCAGTTTTAACGAAGCTGCCTGGAGGAGGGAAATAGTAAAAACTGGAGGCCAGAGGATAAGGAAGCAGGCGTAACATCTCTAGAAGTTTCTCAGCTGTCTCTGAACATACATAATTTTAGGAGTACAGAACAGTGGTACATGGTAAAGAGCTGTGATCTGGGGAATATAGCAGCATAAATCCTCACATAGGAACATTCTGTAGTGAGTGGTGGTTTTTTCAGGGTAGGGCAGGGGAGCAGTTTTTGTGTTAGGCTGTATGCCTCAGTCCCTTCTAATTCCTGGATCCAGCAAAGGTTGAAATCTAATGATATGACTTTAAAAAGGTAAAGGGACCCCTGACAGTTAAGTCCAGTTGCGAACGACTCTGGGGTTGCGGCACTCATCTTGCTTTATTGGCCGAGGGAGCCGCTGTACAGCTTCCGGGTCATGTGGGCAGCATGACTAAGCCGCTTCTGGTGAAACAGAGCAGCACATGGAAACGCCATTTACCTTCCCGCCGGAGTGGTACCTATTTACGGTATCTACTTGCACTTTGACGTGCTTTTGAACTGCTAGGTTGGTAGGAGCAGGGACCGAGCAACGGGAGCTCACCCTGTTGCGGGGATTTGAACCGCCGACCTTCTGATCGGCAAGTCCTAGCAGGACATTGGTGTGGGGGATGGCAACCACCAGCACAAACCACCATTTTTTGTGGTAGCGGCCATTCCAACTCACCCCAAAAAGCCACAGTATGATGCAATATCTAAGGCATTCTTAGAAAACAAAATGGCAGCCATCAAGAGTAGTTGCTGAAAATGGTGAGAGAGGGTTTTGTAGTTTATTTTTCTGTTTCTTCTTTCTTCCATTTCTCCCCCCCCTTTATTTCTTGTAGAGTAATTTGTTCTTTTAATTGTATTGTGAAGACTTCAATAAAAAGAATTCCAAAATAAAGGAGTAGTTGCTGAATACAGCTCTTCTATAACTACTGTCATCTCAGGCAGCAGCAAAGATAATTAACACAAGTGACAAAATAACTGACATCTAAACAAATGACATGAAAAGAATGCCATTTTTAAATAAATGAATAACAACTGAGGTCTTTAATAGTCAAAATAAAAGGCATATGTGTCAGAGCTATGGAGAGCTTTTTCTTATGGTGAGCCAGTGAACTGCAGGTGGCAATTTTGCAGTGAAGTACCCTCAGAGTCTGGACTAACCTTGCCCACCTAGCCTGACCAGTGGATCATCCTGGAGAAGGAGGACTACAGGTAGAAGAGGCCTTCCTGTTGAGCCTGGCTTGGGCAACAAAGTCCCTCAGAGTTCCTGTGTGTTTCTGAATCCTCAACTCTTTCAGCCCGACTTCTAAGAACGTTAGAAGAGCCTGCTGGATGGAGCAAATGGTCCATCTAGTTCAGCATGCTCTTCACACACTGGCCAACCAGAGAAACCTGCAAGCAGAACAATTTCCCCCACTTGTGACTACTAGCAAGTGGTAGCCAGAGGCACATACTCCATCCAACATTTCTGGTTTGCTACTCAAACCTGCTTCCTGGTTTGCTCTTTGGTTACGAATTACTCTGTAGTCCCAGGTATGGGCTTTCCCTATGGCTCCTTCCTGACCACAGTCTCTTGCCCACACAGCCCAGTCCTTGCACTACTGATTTTATATATATATATATATATATATATATATATATATATATATATATATATATATATAGCACACCACCTCAATATCTTTGTTGAACTGCTATCTTAGCTGTGGAACACAACAAACCTATAGGAGGATGACCTTGCGTAGCCTTGAAAATACACAGCACTTAAAAATCCTCTGGTTTGCCAAGGCTCCTACTGGCTTCCGGCTTCACCCTTTCAAAGGGTTCCTTGACCTCTTAATTGGCCATTTACTGAGAGGAGGAAATGGTGGCAGGCCTTTCTAGTTTCATAGCCTCAGTGGCTTTCAAGGGCTGAGGGATCAAGGCTGATGTCATCCTCTTTTTGAAGGATGTGTTCGTTTCCTGTGCCATCCCCTCCCTGATAATTGCATCACCATCTGGGGCCTTGAAGAAATGTCCCTCTTGGCATCACAATACTCACTGAACTGGAGGGGTGGCCTACTTTGGAGCATCCCCAAGCTGGCTCCCCTTGGACCCTCCCCTTCCCAGAATACTGGACTCATTTCTCTCTATTAAGAACAGGGGCAGTTTCTTGAATGCCAAAGGCAGGATCAGATTTGGCCTGCAAATACAATTTCTGTGGAACATGTAGTCAGCCAAGACTCTTGCGTTAGGGTTTTTGTTTTTTCTCAGCCGCCATTTTATACATCATTACACTGGAAGTCGAAAGATTAGAATGTTACCACCTTGCTTTTGGACTCATTTTTTCATGGCCACATCTGGAGTATACCTTTACAGCCCATAGATTCTCCTAAAGAACATTCGTCCACCCCTCACAGAGCTACAATTCTCAACAGTTTAAACAAAATACAGTTCCTCCAGGTGTCACTGAACTCCAACTCCTATCCTCTCTGACTATTGGCCATGCCTGCTGGGGCTGATGATGGGAGTTGGAGTCCAACAACATCTGGGGGGGCTCTGATTCCCCAGTTCTGGTCTACGGAGACTTGCAGCTGCTCTCTAGTACTTTAGACATAGAGGGTTCTCCTACCTGGACTGAACCTGGGATCTTCTGCATTCACATCAGTAGCTTGACCATGGAGCCACTTCCCTTTCCTAAAGGGTAGGAGGGAGACCCACAGCACTCTTCCATCCAAAGCTTGTCCTGTCCCATATATGTCTGAACCTAAAGGTCATTGATCAGAATTCCTCTTGTTCACACAGCCAGGGCGGCTAAAGGATAGGAAAAGGGTAAGGTTTATTTTCAGTGACTATTTCCTGTTCATTGTATAAAGATATCTTAATCCCTTTTCTGTTCCAGATTAACTCCGAGACATTATTCGCACAACAAATGACACAGATTAGAATCGGCATTCCATCAATTCAATGCTTCACTGTTCTGAATAGATCTTGTTTATCCCTAGGCTGATGGCTATCTGGTATGGTCTACTTCTTTGGGGGCAAGTACTGTATAGACTAGGGACGTGGGTGGTGCTGTGGTTTAAACCACTGTGCCACTTGGACTTGCCGATCGGAAGGTTGGCAGTTCAAGGCCCGGCAATGGGGTAAACTCCCGTTGTTTGGTCCCAGCTTTGCCAACCTAGCAGTTCGAAAGCACGCAGTGCAAGTAGATAAATAGGTACCACTCCAGCGGGAAGGTAAACAGCGTTTCCGTGCGCTGCTCTGGCTTCGGCAGAAGCAGCTTAGTCATGCTGGCCACATGACCCAGAAAAACTGTCTGTGGAAGCGGACAAACACCAGCTCCCTTGGCCTGTAAAGTGAGATTAGCACTGCAACCCCAGAGTCATTCGCGACTGGACTTAACTGTCAGGGGTCCCTTTACCTTTACCTTTACTGTATAGACTGGGCCACTTTCTCAAGATTTGATGTCATGTAATATATTCCACGCGGGTGGCGCTGTGGGACGCGGGTGGCGCTGTGGGTAAAAGCCTCAGCGCCTAGGGCTTGCCGATTGAAAGGTCGGCGGTTCGAATCCCCGCGGCGGGGTGCGCTCCCGTTGCTCGGTCCCAGCGCCTGCCAACCTAGCAGTTCGAAAGCACCTCCGAGTGCAAGTAGATAAATAGGGACTGCTTACTAGCGGGAAGGTAAACGGCGTTTCCGTGTGCTGCGCTGGCTCGCCAGATGCAGCTTTGTCACGCTGGCCACGTGACCCGGAAGTGTCTCCGGACAGCGCTGGCCCCCGGCCTCTTGAGTGAGATGGGCGCACAACCCTAGAGTCCGGCAAGACTGGCCCGTACGGGCAGGGGTACCTTTACCTTAATATATTCCACCATTAGCGTGATAACTGTCTCTACGTGTGTGTGTGTGTGTGTGTGTGTGTGTGTGTGTGTGTGTCTGTGTGTGTGTGTGTAAACTAGGGACTGCCACTCCTGCTCACCAAACCTGCCTACCTGCTAATCTCTTTGTCAACTCTCTTCCCCTACAACTAGCCAACCCTTCCTTACTCTACACCTGATCAAATCACCCTTCCTTTACATCTCATCCACCTTTCACCCAAAGCCCCACCACTCACAGCTCTCCACCCCTCCCAACCTTTTAAAGGAGAAAGAAAGCTTTTTCTGAAGTGCTCCCCCAGCCTCCGTTAAGCCACACTGCATTTTACATGGGGAGGGGGTGCTTCACAGAACAGTTGCCCCAGTTGCTCTGTGAAGCGCTCCCTCTGCCCTTGTTAAACAGCTTGCCTGAGCGACCTGAGCCAACTACATCACAGTGGAGTTGGTTAGCTGCATTCTGGCAGCCATGCCAATGGCAGCGTGGTGTCAACCATACATTTTTATGCACATAGGAAGAAAACACAGGCACATACACACATATGGGTTGGTTTATTTCTGTGTATCAACACTCCCACAAGATGTGCCCTGCCTTAATTGGTTTTTAGCACTAACTCTAGTGCCATGCTCATCACAATATTATTTTGCATTAGGCAAGTTAGAAAATATGTAGACAAATATTGTACAACTCCTTCCACCCTGTTTTCCACCCCTTTTACTCATTTATTGCATTAATAATAATCTAACAGCGTGCATGTTCCCCTGTTTCTATCTTTAGAAAGACCTCCTTTCAACATCTCCAATGATTTTGCATGTTTGAACTGTTTCATAGTTCTTTACAAATGTTTTTTTCAAGCGCTCTCTCCCTCTCTCTTCCACCCCACCCCACACTTTCTTCTGCCACTGTCAAAGCATTAACACCATTCCCACTTCATTAACAAACTGACCCCAAGTGCCAAACTCTAAAGAGAGTGGCACCTTCAAAGTCTCTTGTCCTTCTGAGACAAGCAGCAAACCACACCATCTATTGGCCAAAATGAAAACTTGAGGATGCTGTTATGTGTACATAGCAGGGAACTCCGTTGAAGGCAATACGAAAGCCATCTTCAGATATCTGAAGGGCTGCCACATGGAAGAGAGAGCAAGCTTGTTTTCTCCTGCTCTAGAGCGTAAGACCCAAACCACTGTATTCAAAATGCAAGAGAGGAGATTCCAGCTAAACATTTGGAAGAACTCTCCGATGGTAAGGACTGCTGGGCAGTGGAAAGGAATACCTCAGAAGGTGTGGACGCTCCTTCATGGGCGGTTTTTAAACAGAGTATTCTTGCTTGTTGTTTACTGCCCTGGGCTCCTTTGGCAGAAAGGAAGGGATATAAGTTTAATCAATCAATCAATCAATCAATCAATCAATGTTGCAGAATATATCCGGGAGGGAGAACAGTCTGGAGGGGCTCTAGGCCTGTAAGCAATCCTCAGCACATTTTTTCCATGCTTGGTCTTGTCTCCACTTGCCTTCCCTTTCTCTGTTTTTAATGTTAGGTTGTAAGTTCATCAGGGAAAGGACCTGTTCTCTTTGTGATCTGCAAAGCACCCCTAACACTCCCCATCTCTTCCAATTAGTATAGCAGTGAAACTTGGGGAAAAGAATGTTAACAGCACACATATTTTTCATAACAGTCCACACATCCACCCTCTGCTTTTCTTCTATGGCAGGCATGCCCAACAGGTAGATCGTGATCTACTGGTAGATCACTGGCTCCCCCTAAGGAAGCTATAAAGCTTTGGCTCCCCCAAAAAACCTCCTTCCTCCCCAAAAACAGCTCACCAACTTTGACCTGAACCCCTAAAAGGGGGGTAGAGCACTGCCAGTTTTTAACTCTGTAAGCAGTCTCTTTGGAGTTGGCCACCCCTGTTCCATGGGAATTGACAAGATGGTCCCTAAGGAGGATAGTAATTCCACATGAAAATTGCAATTGATCCGTATGACCCCCACATTGTCTAACTGGAACATTTCACATCATTTTCCCTTTCACAGAAGATTTGTCTCTTTTGGGGACATCTTCCTCACATGCACATTCATGCCCAGAGAAGACACAATTGCCACATACACAAACTCTCTCCCTTACATTCTGAAGTGTGTTCTCATGACCAGAATAGTATTTACACTGCATGCTGGAATCCTGATGAAGCAGGCACAACATTGCTTCCTTGTAGAACTATCTGGGAAGAGGGGGAACTTGTGCTCCTCCGGAAGTTGTTGGACTCCAACTCCCATCAGCCCCAGCCAGCACTGCCAACGGTCTGGGATGGTAGGAATAGTTGCAGTGCAGTAACATAGGGATGCCCAGATGCTCCCCAGACCTGTTGCAGGTTGTGGGGAAATGGCTGGCTGGCTAGAAAGCTCTCCCCCACCTTCAAATATATGTGTCCAAAAGCAGGCAAAGTCATGCCAAAGTCTTGTTTTGGTCCACCATCTTGATTCAAAATGGAAACCCTCATGCCAGGTTTGGTGATGATATCTGGAGAGGCTGCTGACCCTATACCCAAAAAGTAGGCAAAGTCACATTTCAATCCACCATCTTGATTCAAAATGGCAGCCAAAACTCAATCTTCAAGAAGAGTGCCACCCCCACCCCTTGGGAACCTTCATGCCAAGTTTGGTGACCCTATCTGAAGAGGTGTTCAAATGTATAGACAACAAACAGACAAATGGACAGACAAAGCACTTTCCAAAATATGTAGCAGATATACACACATGCACATACACTAACCCTTGGGGTTATCTGGTGTAATTAATTTATGAAATTCACTGCTGGGAGATCTGATCAGGTGGCTTTAAAATAAGACTAGACTAATTCATGGAGTCTATCAGTAGCTTTTAGTCACGATGGCTAAATGGCATTTTGATGTACAGAAGGGGCAAGCCACTGGGTTTTTAAAAAGCAGATTTTCCAACTGCACAAATCCCCCCCCTCCAGGTACCCCACGCTTAAAAACCCCCTAATGAACACAAAGTGTGCTTTGCTCCTTGTTTACACCTGCATCCAGCGGCGTAGCGTGGGTTGTCAGCACCCGGGGCAAGGCAAGTAATTTGCGCCCCCTAACCCGTGGATTTGAGCCCCCTAACCTGTGGATTTGCGCCCCCTAACCCGTGGATTTGCCCTAACCCCAGATGTTGCGCCCAGTGCGGCCGGCCCCCCCTGCACCCCCCACGCTACGCCACTGCCTGCATCAATGGTACCTTCTCCATAGGAGTTGGTGATTCTTATCTAGTATTATACAGCAGCAATTCATTCAATAATTAGCATGTGCAAAACCAGGAGTACCATCAGGGTATTTACGAGGGTGCAACACAACACCTTAGTGTGCATGAAATATCAGTTGCAGGGAGGGAAATAGTAGGACAGGTTGCTCCCTTTGTGTCCCACTTGTGGACCTCCAAGAGGCATCACGTTGGCCTCTGTGGGAAGCAGCTTTCTGGAAGAGAGGGGTCTTTAGTTGTGTGTTCATGTGTACTATTTATCAAAGACTGTCCTTTGCTTGATGAGCAAAGTCTGGTTTAAAGATAAAGACCCCTAAGAACAAGGAGCAGGAGGGACCTTGAAGTTGCTCCTCAGCATTTAGCAGCTGGACATCATACTGAGCAGGGCCACAGGCCACCTGGCCATAGTCTTCCCCACTGCAGTGAGGTTGTAGTTCTAAATTTGCATCTGTACATATCAATTAACATACAGTCATACCTCGGGATGAATACGCTTCAGGTTGAGTGTTTTCGGGTTGCGCTCCATGGCGACCCAGACGTAACAGAACACGTTACTTCCTGGTTTTGCCACTTGTGCATGTCCAGACACTCAAAATAACATTACGCACATGCGTGGAAGTGGCAAAACGTGACCCGCAGACACGCAGTCGCGTGTTATGTTCGCTTCAGAATGTGAATGGGGCTCCGGAACGGATCCTGTTCGCATCCAGAGGTACCACTGTATGCACATTTTATGCAAATCTGGCGTTCTTTTTACCTCAACATACGTTCCCCCCACCCCACCAGCCCTGAACTGGCCCTTCTGGTGGCTTGTTGCACATCTCACAAAGCAGGGTTTCGGGGAAAGCTGAGATTTGCAGGCCCTGCAGATACCAGTCCCCCAGACCAGGCTGCTTGAATCTTGCAGCATAAGGAATGAAATCTTTTCAAGTTCCAAAAGGACAATTTTAGCATGCAGTATGGAAGTCGAGTTGGCTTAAAGGCAGTTACAAACACACACACAGTAAAGAAAAGGGGGGTGGGAGTGATGTGGATAATAAAATTCCAGAAATTCAAACAGTACTGAAGTTTTAGCCCCAAAGCAAGCTTCAAAGTGACTGCTGACTAGCCCATAGCTTCTTTAAAAATGTTACAGTAAAAAAATGTTATAGTAATGTTATGATATATGATTGGAGTTACTGTTGCCCAGGATGTGTACACACACACACACATTTTTGCCCTACTGTTTTCTTTGATCAGACAGGCTTTGCAAACTTTCAGAAGCACTGCACAAATCTGCAATCCGCCAGGTCCAGTAGGGCACTTTGCCTACTACATTCCACAATGCCTCTATCATACTAGTTTCAGCTCCCTTGGGAGGTAGGGGGAGTTATCGCTGATTTCCAGTCAAGATCACAGGCCCAGGCAGGATTTGTGTGTGTGAAAGGAAAAGGCTCCTGGGAGAAGAATGTCTTTCAGATAGTTGGCATTCTTTGTTTCCTTTCTGTTTGGTCTAATGCTAACTGTCTGTTGATGTGAGATAGGCAGATTTCAACTTTTAAAAGTCCTATAAGAATGAAGACAAGACATGCTTTGTACTGCACCTGTGAACCCATCTGCTCTGTTACTGACCTTGTTTGCACACAATGCTAATTCGTGGTTCATTAAGGCATGGCCAGTGATGTATTTGAACCATGCCCAGCAGTTTCTTTGGTTTACTCCTAACAAACCATGGTCTGCTGTTAGCTTGATTTGTTTCAACTATGGTTTGGCATTATGTCTGAGCCCAACACCACGGTTTCTTTGGCCTTCATTAGAGTTTGGACATTGGACAAAAATGTTACTGTCCATTAATGGCTACAGTAACCAATATGTTAGCAAGTTGTTAGAAGATGGCTTATTCATGCTGGAATCTCTAGAATGTTTGGAAACATTTTAGGGTGGCGAATGCCTTTCTCAGGGGAACTGACGGTGGCAGGCAGATCTGCTGCATGACAGGAGTTGGAGACCACAACTGTTATGGTATATTACTGTGACTTGACTCTGCATTAATAGCTGGTCTGCTTCAATTGTGGTTTGGCATCACATGTGAACCCAGCACCATGGTTTGTTTTGCTGTCTCTAATGAAGTGGTCAAGTGTATTACAGCTGTGGTGATCTCTCATCAGGGCTCTCTTGGTCCCCTAAAGAGTTTTTGCCCAAGCCATCAGAATTTGGTGGCATAGGCTCACGTGCTGATGAACCCCCACGGGACAGACCAGTTTGGAAATCCACCTCCTCCTTGGAGCTACAATTTCTGGAGGACTCTTTCTCCAAGGCCTTCCTTGACAAAATCAAGAAAGAGGATAAAATAGATCTATATCTGTTCTAAGCACTTTTTTTCTTAAGCCCACAATATTGTGGACTAATTGACAGTACCATGAGCAATACCTGGCATTTCACTTCCTTAGTGAACTCATCAGCTTAATCTTGGACATGGTGACATTTATTAGCTTCTCACTTTGGGTTGAAAGGAGAGCCCAGGACAAGGGAGATGCTCAGTGGAAGTCTGAACAGCTAAGGCTGGGTGACATCCCACCCCCTCCTGCCTCAGTTCTGCACTTGGCAGCCACATGGTAGGAGCCATACAAGACTACGGATGATGGTGTGATTCACGTCAATCCCATGTTTAAGGCAAGCCAAAGGCAATGGTTCTTACTGTCATGGTGACACCTTGTGCTGGCATCTGATCTTAACTTAGCTATGTCAGTCATTAGAATCATCTTCATCCTCCTTCTTGGAAATGGGCCTGCACATTCAAAACTTAGCCCAGCCCTAAATATTCCATAGCCATCTCTGAGCAGAGAAAATGGCATGCATTGGTTTTCGTTTCACCCTTTCCTGCAGTGACTTATGGAATTTTCAGACAAAAAGAGATTATATAGATAGGGACAGAGAACCTTTTTTCAGCCTGAGAGCGACATTCCCTCCTGGGCTTGCCAGTAGTGGCTGGTGTCAGAGGCCAAAGTGGACACAACAATGCATGTATATCTTACCTTGGTACAGCTGGCTAGCTTCTACAGATGCCTGCCCACCACCCTGTGGCCTCTATTCAGGAAACCAAAAGGCATTATCAGAGTTCAAGAATGCAGGCGCAACCAGGCAAAAATTATCTAGGAGGTGCAATGCAGGGTCAATGAAAGTTGTATCTCAA